AGATTGGGACGCATCTTGGCCGAATCAAGTTGCAAACGAGGTATTATTATCCCATAAAAAAACGAGTAACTGCCGATTTCCCATCGGTCGACATTCTCCCACAAGTGAGCCCTTTAGCCCTCTGTGAGAAACCGGAGACCGAGAAACTGGCCTGCTTGTATACGAATGCTCAGAGACTTTTTAATAAACAGGCGAAACTGAAAATTCGCCAAGCTTCCGGGTCATATGATGTCATTGGTATCACCAAGACATGGTTGCACACGGGAATGACGGACGCTGAAGTTTCGCTACCGGGCATATCGCTGATCCGGGAAGACAGCCTCACAGAAGGAGGATGGGTATTCCTGTATTAGCGAAGCGAGTTGCAGTGCGAAGTCGTGCAGGATTCAGACTCGCAGTTCCCCGACTCTCTTTGGTGCCGTTCACAATTAAAAGGCAGAGACGCTTGCCTTATTGTCTTGATGTACCGCCCCCCCCCGAACTCCGCATCCGAAAACAACTACCACCTGGCAGCTGCCTTAACATGCCGTTTACAACAAAAGTACACCCACATAATTATCATGGGTGATTTCGACGTATATTGTGTAGAAACTCCTGCCACGATCGGAGGGCAATTCAAAACCGATCTACAAGATCTCGTAACCCCTGTTCCTCTTTACAATCACATCACTTTACACACAATTCAGAACAGGCCATCAGTGCTGGATCTTGTGCTTACCAACGAGGTGCATTTGATTGATGTGTTGGTTTTAGACTGCCCGTTGGGTCGCAGTGATCAAGCAACGATCGGGTCCAACTTCGTCTGCTATGCAGAATATCTGAATGATAACGATGAGACTGTGCGAATCATCACAAGCCACGATCGATTAGCTCACCTCGTCAGCACCACAACTTGGTCGTTCCTTGACGAAGAACCCCTGGAAGTCGCCTGGCTCGAATTCGTCAAAAAAATTAGTCAGCTGATCGCAGACGCTTCAGAGATAAAGGTTTGCGACAAGTGCACATCAGTTTCTTTCATTAGGAGCAGAACTCGAAAATGGATGACAGTACGCAACGCAGCATGGCGAGTGTACAGAGACTCTCTAGCACCAGAAACGTGGAACAACTACGCAGTGTAACGTAACCACTGCACTTATCTGCTAAGAGAAGACAAAGCCGCCTATCAGCACAGCGCAAAAACCTTCAGTGCTAATCACAAATTTCGGTACAAGCAAGTCAATAGTCTAAGAAAGGTGAGGCAAGGATTTCCTTCTCAGGATGGTCAATGACCCAACAAGAACGGCTGTGGAAACAGCAAACGCGCTGCGGTTGCAATATGCCTCTAAGTTTCAAAGGGTCTTGCCACCAAGCGACATACCAACTTTGTCATCCCCTAGCCAGGACTAACCCACATTACTTTTACCGCGGAGGCTGTATTGCAAAATCTGACGTCTCTACACAAACACAGCTCGCCGGGTGTCGACACCATTCGTCCAGAGGCATTGGGAGCAGCAGCAAGCCAACTGGCAGGACCTTTAGCTCAGTATTTCCAGCACTGCTTAGACCAGAACCAAGTTCCCCCAATGTGGAAGCTTGGAATAATAAGCCCGATGCACAAAGGTGGAAGCAGAACTGACCCCTCCAACTACCGCCCAGTAACCCTTCTTCCTATACTCTCCAAGGTCATGGAATCCATAGTTGCCGATGCACTTGTGTGCTATCTGGAAAACTGTAACCTCATCACTCCTGAACAGCACGGTTTCCGTCGACAGCGGTCATGTACAACTAATTTACTAATTGCACGCAGTAGTTGGACCGAGGCAGCTGACGCTGGAGAAGATGTTGATGTGATCTACCTGGATTTTTCCAAAGCTTTCGATCGTCTAGACCATCGGATACTAATATCCAAGCTGCAGCATCACGGGATCGGCGACCCTCTTCTAAGCTGGATTGTCAACTTTCTACTTCAACGGCAATTAGTGGTCAGATTTCGGAGCTCTTTATCGAACCCCATACAAGTCGAGTGTGGTGTGCCGCGAGGCTCAGTTCTAGATCCACGTGCGCTTTTGGTGTTTATTAATGACCTTGCAAAGGGAATCGTTTCAACTTCCTAATGTTTGCCGACAATATCAAAATTTAACGCAAAATCCAGGCGAACGCCGACCAACATGGGCTTCAGAGTGACTTAGATACTGTGTATCAATGGTCGACCCAAAACTTATTGCATTTCAACGTCAGTAAATGCAAGGGGCTTTCCATCCGACATCAGAGCAGCTACTCATACCGGCTCGGAACAAATGTACAGCAACAATCAAATGTCGAACGTGACTTGGGTGTCCTGGTCCAAGATGAGTTGAGTTGCTCCAGGCAGTCCGGAAAGTCCCCGAAGACTGGACATCAACACGTCGGGCTGTTGCCACGAGCGTTTGGACAAATAAACAGCTCCATATTTCGACAAATGCTTAGTGCGTCGAATATGCAATTCAAGCCTGACCTCCATGGCTGAAACACGACTTTAATGCACTGGAGCAGCCACAACGTCGAGCACTTAAGGTAATTGGAATGCGCAATCTTTCATACCAGAGGAGGTTGCAAAGATTGGGGGTATGTAGCGGAAGCTATCGCAGACTACGAGGCGACCTGATTATGGCATACTTGATTCTGCGAGACCCATATCAAGTGTGCCGCCCTTTACTGCAACTCAGCAGCAATCCAAACCTGAGGGGCCACTCATTAAAACTCGCAGAACAATACAGTCGTCTGGAGTGCCGCAGAAATTTCTTTTCCATTCGTGTCTGTCACCCGTGGAATGCTCTCCCAGAATCGGTCGTCACCGCACCGACACTAAGAGTATTTAAAAGACGGTTGGATGATGCATTCATCCACTTACACTTTGTCAGTTAACACTACGTCTCCATCCTACACCTGGAGTTTACCATGGAATTATTTGATGTTAACTGCGGGTGCTGTGAATCGAAGCGGAGTGCATGACTACGACGGAGCAAACGATAAGTCCTTATTTTCATATTTAAAGTACTAACTGTTTTACTATCGTTATTATCATTATTGTTATGTTGATATGCCCACCAATTACCCGACGGGACTTGTAAAGCAACGCTTCTTAACCCGTATAAATTCAGTGTTCATTTTCGCTGATAATACGGTAAACAAAGATCGATAGAAGGATATGTTGGAAAACAGATTTATTCCAGATCTCACCCATGCAAAACGGAGCCCGTTCACACACTGCAAATGTTGTTCTTGTTTACCTGTATGATATGCCTGATGGGCGGGTAATGTCACATCGGTTTCCTGAGCGTCATCAAGGTGGGAGACAGTGGCCCTGACATCAATCCATATGATTTCTTCTTGTGGGGCTACTTGAAAGATCATGTCTTGGCAAGGAAGCCTGTAAGTGTAGTTCAACTTAGGACTCTTATCATGCAGTTGTGCCGTCTAATTTCAGAAGACTTTTGTAGGAAGTTTGTGACAAATGTAAAGCTTGACTGAATCACGGGGAATGCTGATCCTCAGCAATCCAAAAATTCCCATTTGTTAGAATGAATCAAGGGAGGCAGAATCTGAGTAAAGAATTCCTTTCGATAATTCTCACCAGACTCAAACATTGCATGATGACGAGAAAGTGCTAAATATACCGGATTGGGCTGCGTATTGAACATAATATTTAATTTCAACAGGAACAAATCAATAAATCACGGGGTCATTGAAGGTGGCAAGTATGTGCAGGCAAAATCACAGTCGAAGTTGTAAGCTCCTGTGGTGCACGATCCGTGGGTCGTACCACGAGGCGCCTATCTCATAGGATTCGCGAACACATCCCAAAGCGAAGCGAGGTATAGTAACAGTTCCATCTTGTCTCAACCTCTAGTGTGCAGTCCGACGGGAAATGATTTTAGAGTAATCTATACTATTCCTGAGTGTTTCTTGCGCGGATTCCGGAAGCATCTCCTGTCTATTGCGGAAGCTATCTAAATCCGCCACCACAAGCCAGAATTGTGCGTACAAAAACAGTTTGTACGTCCTTTACTTCTACCGTGGCCTACAACTTCGGCTGTGATTTCCCCTGTACATACTTGCCACCTTCATGACCCCGTGATTTATTGATTTGTTCCTGTTGAAATTAAACATTCTGTCCAATACGCAGTCCAATCCGGCATATTTAGCGCTTTCTCGTCATAATGTAATGTTTGAGTCTGATGAGAATTACCGAAAAGAATTCTTTACTCAGATTTTGTTTCCCTTGATTTATTTTGACAAATGTAAAAGCTTGCTTGCAAGATCTTGGGAAACAAAATGGTGATCACATTGAACACATACTATATTGAAGTAAATTTTCATAATCATACAATTAATTCTGCACTGAGTTTGTAACATTTTGATGATAAATACATGTGTAATGAACAAAACAAATGGTATGACATTTCGTGCGCCACCCTGTATGTTCAATGTAGAAGTTGGACAGAAATAGTTACTTTTCTATACAGAGGATAGGATATGCTGAGCGGCCGAATTTTATCACAAAGCGTATCGTGGTCCAGATTGAAGCAGCACGTTGCGATTCTAACACACAGCGAATACTCCATCGTAAGATAGTGAATCCTGTCAGGACCCGGTATACAATGCTAACAGGCATCGATATTTGAGACCTCCGGAAATCGGGCATCATCACCACGATGCCGCTGTCGAGGCTAATTTTCGACTCTGCAGCCTCTTGATAGTTCATGTGCATGATGGTCGTAAACTGAGGCTACATTTTTAGGGGAACATGAGCCGCGTAAAAGAAAAAAGCATCAATGGGACTTATTGGATTGCTAGAGAAAGTAACGAGGGCTGGTATACGTAATACAACGGAATCGGATTGCAGTCACCACAGTGAATGCTTACAGTGTAAGCTAACGTAACCGGAAGTGATCGAGAAAAAGGAAATGGGTGGATCTACGCAAAACGTTTAGAGATGCGACTACATAGTGTGCTCAGTCTTATAAAAGTCAATCCTTCAGGAACAAACGGTTTATTGGCAAAAAGCAAGCAATGAAAAAATGCGACAGAGCTTGTTAACACAACACTCACGTAAATTGTCCAAGTAGTATCAGTGCTGACGACGCAGTTCCAACAATAGTGCTCTCTCTTTATTTCAAGTAAATAACGGTCAGTAATCGTCATCCAATGGGCGGGACTTGGTGCGGTCAATAGCTGAGACCGTTCGGTTCGCATCTAGTCGAATATCTCGTAGGTCTCGATGGTGTCTGCTCCGTCTGATACACCAGTCTCATTACACCCAGCACAGCAAATGGGTTGCGAGGCAAACTGTGCACGCTAGTATGAAGGTCACTGTCAATGCGCCGATATGGGATGAGATGGACGGGGCAGTGAGATTGCTTGGACTGTCGTTCACGGAACTAAATGCAAGGAGAAGAACAGCAGGCAGTCACCCGGGACAGGGCGACGTGAGATCCCCGGGGGTTCCTCGTACTCCAACGCCTCTGACTGCTAAGCACACAGGGAGAACTGTTTTGGGATAAAAGCAAGCAACCTCCCTCATAAAGAGGTTCAATTGGGAGCTGCATGAACAGAACCCATGGGGATAACTTCAAACTAACAAAAGACGTATGCAGTCTGGCTGCACGGAACGCGACCGGGAAAACAATGCCCAGGAAGGCCACAGAGCGTTGTCGGGATTTCAATTTAGGAGCGAAGGTGTGTCACCTGGAATAGAAAGGCGATGTGGGTAGACAGACATTAATAATATATAAATCAACGACGGTAGATTCGTGAATCAGTTGAGAGATAAACTAAGGGGTGAGATGAGAAAAGTCATTGAAATACATCAAAAACGACTGTCATAAAGAAGGAAAGTTAGCTCTATGAGTGTGGGTACATGTAACCAACTCAGCGTATCGCGAAAATCGATCCATCAGAGACCGATGGTATATTTATCAAAAGAAATAAATAAATTGTATATTCCTCGACGATGCGAGAAGCTGCTCCAAATGAAAGACGCGATCGGTTCCAGAAACTGTTGGGAAATTCTGGCTCGGATCCTAATTTCGAAGGATTCGAGTAACGTAGTTTACCATCGTGCAGTGTTTGGATCTAGGAGCCTATAAAATGTACCGGTAGGGGCTTTTCTGTCATGCTTTCCCCATGTTATTGTGTATGTGATGGTGTTTGATTCTGTATATTCCCGAAGGATTCTATTACTGCCATCTGTCGCGAACGTCAGAAGTGCAACATACCGAGATCTTTTGCCACAAAAGTAGCGTAGTTAGTTGTAGGCACGCCACCCGCCGTACTGCACAGACACTGTATGAAAAAATGACTCACTTCAAATCTCCGTATGGAATACCGTCCGTCACTAGCGGGTGGCACTAAGGGAAGATAGGAGCAGAGGTGTGCAGTGAATTCTTGGGCGAAGTTTGCATGTGACGCTTTTCGAATTGCGTATAGTCTTTTTATAAGCCGAACCTCGTCTACCGAAATGCAAGAAGTGTTCAAAAAATTATGGGCTTATATTTGGTAGATCATTTACCCAGTATGTCGGAAACATTTTATTGCATATATACGTGTATGCGGTATTAGGGCACCGGTGAAATCCTGCATACCAGGTAGACGGTCGGCGGAAGATCCGAGTCAGACCAAATGTCAGCAACGACTGGTCACACCCCATCTCACACTCGCACAAAAGAACTGTTAAAAAAACGCAAGGAGCCGGTAGCCACGGGCGCTTGGTAGCTGACGACGGTTGGTATTCTAATACAACCTCCAGGTAATTGTTCTCACCTGAATCAACAACCAAGTGTTGTTTCTATGTTAACCACCTGATGAGAGTGAATCAGTAGCGAGTTTGGTTAGACCACCACTTGCCTTGTGCGGTGGGTGTTTGCGACCGATTCAATCGATAAGTTGACTACATGTGTATAAGATGTAACAACAAGATACTAGATGTAAAGAGTGAAGTGGATGGTGATTGATTCCCACCTCTCTGGGACTGCTATGACAAGTTGACCGGGAACGCAATAAGGCCTGATACGGAGTTCCATTAACATGGAACGATGCGAATTGGGCCCCATGTATGAACGCCCTTCCTTCCGTAGTAATGTAGTAGGCGACAGGACGTTCTGGCGATTGTACAGCAGACAGCGGTCGACACGAGAAGACGAAAATTGAGAACGCTCAAAAGTGGGGAGGCATTTCGAAATAATCATTGTGTAAATGGATCACGATATGCAATTATCGTCATCCTCATCCTCATCATCAGCATCACCAATACACGTTAGCTAAGGGGGAAAAACACAGCTAAGGTGCCGGAATACAAAAAGATAAGGTACAAAGGGATTACACTACAAAATAATCCAAAGCATGCGGTATAACGTTAAATATTAAAATTATGTACTTCGTGTGAGATCGGAATTAGCGGAAGAATGTAAAAGGGAGGAGATGGGCAAAGAAACTCACAACACAAACGCCATTGGGGCCGGCTCATCGCCATATCAGCAAGTGTGTCCAACCAAACGTGTTCATGGTTCTTAGGACCGCAGCGAGGCACTCTGGATACATTAACCGACGCCAACTTAGAAGTGTGGGTTCTCATTCCTCTCGACCAAGTCATTGGTTGGCCTCCCATCCTTCTCTTCCATCCAGACCCAGGGTGCGCAAACAATGCACATCGCGGGAGTCTGTGTGCTGGCATACGCAACACGTGGCCCAGCCATCGGAACCTGATGCGTGATATAAGGGTGCTGAGCAGTTCACTAGCTCTTCCTGCACCAAATACGCGACGCCGAACACGCTCATTGCTCACGCGATGCTCCACACCTTCTAGGTCGTGTCCAGCGAACGCTGTTTCCAGGAAGGGTGACAGCAGGCAACCTTGTCTCACACCGTTGGAGATATTGAAGGATGGCGACAGTTTGGCATAAACCCTCAGTCTGCCCGAACTTATCTTCGATCCCACGAGCGCTAATATAGCTGTCCAGATACTTGAATTCATTAACGACTTCTAACCGTCGTGACATGCGTTTTCAAACTTGACGTGAACCATAGCCAACTCGGTCACCGGGACTTATCTGAAAAACAGGTGAATAGCTGGCGTTTCCCGTTCGCACTTGCCAGGTAGATAGCCGCCGAGTCACGGCGGGTGGTAACGCTTGTCTCTACAGTGAATTTAGAGGTGTGGGTTACACTGTTGTGAAGCACTCGAGTGAATGAGTTTGACAAACAAAAAGTTACTTTGAAGTGAGTCACACAGCCAACTCGGTCGCTGGGATCGCAACTGACACGGGCAACTATTCGGTGCTGTTCGTTCACGCTTAAGTCACTTCAAAGTGATTAACAGTCCAGATAGAGACTGCGCTTCGCAGTTCATTCACACAACAATGCAACTCTATGCTTGTCAGTGGTACCGTGGTATACGTGAAGTGCTGTGACTCGTATTTATTCAAGAGAAGTCCGATCATTAATAGAAATTGGCATTTGCCAATTTGCGTGCAATTGCCATGGCGCGTACACTGACTGTGTGAACCGGGAAAAAGTATCACTCACTCGGTTCTGTCACCAAATATGAGGAATGTTCATCCGGATTCTTTGGAATCGCTTCCAGAGGCGAACATGTGAAGACAGTTACGCGACCAATTAGTCGCCATTTGTGACCAGACGCCAAGCTGCATTCGCAAATAAGAGTGTACTGACCCGGAGGAAAGCGTTTAGTTAGATAAGATGGCGATGAAACAAAGAGATTCAATTCCCTTTTGGTGCAGTAAGGGATGATGCTGATACCTTCTTTTCCAGATCGTAATGAATCAATAAGCTCGAAATTGAAAAACAACGAAAAGTCTATTCTCATTGTAGTGCACGTATCTGCAATCATTTCAGCAAGAAATTGTAGAAAAAAGGTATCAACAATACACCGGTACGCAGTACCGACGTTTCGATGCCGCGCAACCACCATCGTTCGCATGTGAACTAAGGATACTGCGAGGGTCATCCGGTCCCTACACAGACTCCAACCCAGGCCCCGGGATTACAAGGCAGGCTTGTGATACTTAAGGCCACGGACAGGTCAGGAACTGTAACGTGGTACCACATACGAATACTATAATTAGGCAACTCCCTTTATTGTGCGTTATATTCAAAGCGAAATAATGTACAAGTCCGCGGCTCAGTTCATACGGGAAGAACAGACGGGGATTGGCGATTGTGTGGGGACTTCATACTAAGATATGAAAGCATTTCATGCTACGGATGACAAAATCTGAGGCAACACTGTAGCTTGTGAACATAAGGGGGTTGCTGGACCCCCTAGAACAACTCAAGACTTACCACGCGCTGTGCTTCCCTTATTGTCAGCGTTGTTTCCGGTCAAAAGTTACTTCAATCTCTATCATATTTTATACGGCATTAAAGGATAAAAATACAAATCGATCCAAACACAGCAAGAGCTTCGAAACCCAACTGTGAAACGCGCACGGTGAACACTTCATTACTGATTGCAGTGACACTCAAGACTACCGGTATTTGCATATTGGACGTAGAGTAGGTCAGTAGGATAGTGTAATGCCAGATTCCCTCGTAGGTAATTCAGTAGTCGTCCAGCGATGATCGCTCTGCTAAAAAGTTAAGTCCAAAAGTGTGTGAGCATCAAAGCTTTCGAGCACCGGTACCTCAAGGCTACCTCATCAAGACACACATATTGTAATTATGAACATGAACCTCCCGCTTCTTTTTCTAGACAACACGAATCGACTGCCGTCCAGTGTAGACTGATATCGCTGCACCAACTGAGATGGCTGGGCCACGTCATACGCATGCCATGCGAACGACTGCCCCGACGCACTCTCTTCGCTCGCAAAGGGCTACGCTGGAAGAAATCGTGCAATTGTTAGCCTATCACGTGGCGACAAATGATTAAAGCGCTGACTTAAAATTTGGCTGTCGTAGGTCCCGTGAGTCTTCCGGGCTGAGGGATCAAAGTTGAAAAACATCGCTGGCTGGAAACTCTTTC